GGCTTCGGCCTTGCGGGGCGCTGCGGCGGAAGCCGAGGCCGAGGCGGCGGCGGGCTGCTGGGCGCCCTGCCCGTCGGGGGGCACGGACGCCGTGGCCCCATCCCCTCCAGGGCCGCCGACCTCGGCTCCTTTCTCCTCTTCGGGCACCGGGTCCACCATGGCCGAGCCTCGCGCTTTGTTGGCGTCTCTGCGGACGGCAAGGAGGGACATAGAGAATGCGTCTAGAGCTGTTCCCGCCTCCCCCCCATTTAATCCGCTTTCGGATTAGGGCTGGTGGAACGTAAACCCTCTGCCCTGAGCACCCGGCCAGGGCGGTGGGAGGGAGGGAGATGCTGGTGCTCAGAAAGAACAGCCTGTCTCAGCCCCGGAACGCGGGGCCTGTAGAGACGCTCCCCGGCGTCTGGCCCGCTAGGTGGATCCCCTTCCTGCTGCAAGGTAAAATAAAAAATCGAGGTACACGCAGGCAGCCACCATCGAGGGAGGCGCTAGCGGATTCCCGGGAGGATTAGCGTATTTTGTTTGTAGCTGAGGCGGGCTGCCGGGCTGCAGCTTTGCAGGAACAAAAAGGGGGGGGGGTGTTCATCCCAAACGGGATTCCCGCGGGATCCAGTATGCCCAGGAACCAAGTCTACGGTTGACTGCCCACTGCCAGAGGACCCCCGGGCGCGGGGCCCAGGCGTGACGGTCGGGCGGCGAGCAATCCTCAAAGGCCCTTTTGGGAGGGGTGAGGGACTCTTGCTCCTGCCTCTCGGGCAGGGCTTGCTAGCAGCTCTGCCCGCCTCCTCCACTCCCACCCCACCCCCACCGGGTATTTGCGGGGGATGCAGGAGACGCGGGGATCCTCCCAGACGCACCCGATCACCTCCAGGTCAGAGTGTGCTGAAAGAACCATCCACCCGGTCTGGGCTCGGGCATCGGGGTCTTCGAGCGCCCACCCCGGGTGCCAGCCAGCCCCCCCACCCCATCCCGCATGTCAGCGGGTCGGGCGCGTGGAGCGGCGGCGAGCCTGGGCACGCTCGCGCCTGCAGCCGCCGGTCCCGGGCGGGTTCGCTTACCCTTCGTTCCGGCCCGCGCCCGGGGCTTTTGTTCGCAGCTTGCGGCGCCTCTTCAGTCCCCGCGCCGGCTGGGTCGGGTTACCGCCGGCTCCTGCCGCGGAAGCAGCCCCTGCCGCCGCCGCCAGCGTCTCTCCATGGGGTCCGCGAGCGGGGCGCGCGCACCGCAGATGCTACCTACACGCGGGAGGGGAAGTGCGACAGTCTCCCTAAAATAACGCGGCTCTGGTCCGTTCGCTCACACTGATTTTTAAAAAAGGAAGCCGGGTTCCTTCTCTGCTGCATCCATCGCCACCTCTACCACGGCGAAGGTACCGCCGGGCTTTCGCCGACCCCAGCGCCTCCTGGTGGACGCATGCGGCTGTTGGTTTGTTTGCCTAGAGGTCGAAGAAGAGATTAAAAATTCAGCATCTCTACAAAGCGTTTGTTTATAAGATTTATGTATATACAGTATACGACACACACAGACAGAGGAAGATGCGGATACAGATGTAGCACAAAGCAGCTGGGTCTTTGAGCCCCTTAACAGTGGAATGAAGGAATCGTGCAGCTCATTCTCAAGGGAACCCCGGGAAGCAAACAAACTCAGTGGCAAACAAGTGGGTAGAAATATGGCACCTGATCCAAACTCTGACTTTATTTATTTTTTTTTTTAAGAAAACCTAAGAATGCTTATATGGGTTTGAGGCAGACGGGACATTTGTGACTAATTAGTCCAACATTTTATGATTTACTAGTCCCCAATAATGAAATTAACACCAGTGAGTGCCACTTAGTGCGCGTTATTTTAAGATATGCCCCCCCCAACTCTTTCCCACTTGGAGTGTTCGTGGCCATCGGAATGAGGTGGGCTATAACGTTCAGAGAGCTTGTGAACTGTGTTGTTCAAGAACTTTGACGTTGTCAGGTAGGCTGTGAGGAGAAAATGAGGGGTTTTAAGCAAAGAAATGACAGGATTTGGTTTATATTTTTAGGAACACAAAGATAGCTTGTATGGGTACAGAGACAGCAAACAGCACAGGATGTGTGCCCGGAACAGGAAGGGGGCTGCACGTACAACAGAGGAGTCCAGGAAGGAGGATTAGCTGGTGCGGGCTCAGGGGAGGACAGGGTCCTTTTTGTACCACCACTTGAGTGTGGGGTGGAACTGCTCAGCAGGTGGCTGGACTGGAGCTGTCACTTGGGGGTTATAAGTATACACAAGGTTCCCAGAGCCAACGGTATGAGAAGAAAAGGTAGGGCAGCAAAAGAGGCTGGCCAGGCGTTCATAGGGAGGTTAAGAGAAAAGGAGTTCGTGGAGAAGACCCATCAAAAGAGGCAGGAAAGTGTGGGGCTGTGTGAGCTGCCAGCAGAGCCCATGAGGAGAATGCACTCTCCCTGCTACAGACTCGGAGGTCCCCATGGATTTCTCCTGGAAAACTAGCCGTTATCAGTCCTCAGTGACATTGGCAAAATCAGCTTTGTGTTATGCAGGGAGCAGATGTCGAAATGCAAGCAGTTGAGGTGCAGTGGGAACTGAGAAAATGAGTTACAGATCCTTTTGACATAGGAGATAATGTTAAGAACTACAAAGGTGTGGGGGTTTTACCTATGTGGCCACTAACAAATTAGCCTGCCCCTGTCCCACACATGATGGCAGAAGACATGAGACTCCTGGGTCAGAAACAAAGGACTTCGTTATTCCTAGCACAGAGGCAGCACGAGGTTCGTGTTTTTGTTGGCTGTCCTTGATCCACAAGTCTTGTGGGCCCAGGGGGATATGGTACATCCGATGGGTTTGTGTCACAGCTAAGTGACTCCAAGCTTAGTAAACCCTAATTTCTGAATGCAAACTTGTTCAACCTTTGCTCCAAAGGGAGGCGTTATCTTAATTCTCCTGGATAGCAAGCACATCTTCCCTCTGACCTGGAAGAGCACACTCCACGTCTCTGCTATCCAAGGATGTTTGCTGTTCAGCCATCTTTGCCTGAGTCCACAGTTATAACCTTTATAAGCTGTGTAGAGCCAGGAGTGGTGATACAGTCCCATAATACCAGCACTCAGGAAGCTGAAGCAGGAGGGGCTACATAGTGAGTTCAAGGCCAGCCTGAACTACATAGTGAGACCCTGTCTCAAACAAATAAACAAACAACAAAGTGTAGAATGCCATGAAAAATCGCTCTCCATGGAGAAAATGAACAGTCAATCCCATGGCTAGTAAGAGGTGGGGCTGGGATTTGGACCTGGATCGCTTTGATCCTGAAAGGAACCTCATGCGTTGCCTTTCCACAGTAAGATGAGCATCTGGAGAGATGTGGGTGGAAATGTGTAGAGGGGGTAAGTCAACCACCAAGCCTGGTTTTCCCCTCTTTACATAGACGGTACAATTGCTCTTAGCCAAAGACCGAGAGATCCCTCTCTTTCCATGGAATCCTTTCAATTGCTTCCTGCAAAGATCAGTCATGTCTGTGGAAGAACAGACACGTCTGGCTGGCTAGCTTCCTGCCTGCTGGCTCCCGGAGGGTGGGCCCCCAG